CTATGATTAAAATTGTATGGTATTGGGTTTTAAAAGTTAATTCTTAATTTTATATTATTTAAATTTACAAATTACTAATATACACAGGGTGTCCCAGAACTTACGCCACATAGAAAAAGGGGGTGTGCTGATAGCAATGGAGATGGCAAATTTAAAAATAAATAATTTCAAGGTTATACTGTAATCAAATGAGATAAATAAAGGCTGTAGCCAATACAAAGGAGCTTTAAACATTGCTGGGAGACATTGTTGTCTTAAAACTTTTAAAATTCTTTTGTCCGACTGTTTATTGACCTTTTAAAAATGAATGTCATACTTCAGGACTCCAATGTTTTAAAATAAAAATTAATCAACTAATTCTGTACCCCAGAGCCAAAATCTTTGGCCACTACATAATTCAACTCTGGCGGGATAATCTTCCGGCTGCAGGTGCTGCACTCGCGTAAAATGAACGTCCTTCATAACCCGCTGAACTGTGAACGGAAAATTCGCATGCAACTTCCCTTATGCTCTTCCTACTATTTGCATCAAAGGCATTCCTTATTTTTCGCTTGCAACGCAGAACAACTTTCAGTCCAGGGGACGATCGGGAAATCGCTGGGAAAAAACATAGGAGAAAAACATAACATAAAATAATAAATAATGACAGGAACAAAAATTGACAGCAGTGTCATAATGCAGTGGATTCCAGTCGACCAAATATTTTACATATTATAATATCAACAATCCATCCTAAGTATCCTAGCAATTTAAAGAATTCCCTATGGCGATGTATTGGGATTGGCTATCATTTTGTATTCTTATCTCGCTTATCTTTTGCGATAGATAATTTTAATTTTAAAGTATGTGTTTCGTATAACTTTCGGCACGTTCCCTTTATCTCTGTGGCGCGAGTTCTGAGACACCCTGTATATTGTATATATTTATACACTCAGGCAAAATAATCGATCCACACAAATTTTCGATGAATTTCAATCGCAAATAACTTTTTTATTTGATGTCGGATTTAAACGAATATTAAAGAATATTGTAGATAAGTTAATGGACAATCGCTCACATTTTAAAAAATTACAAAAAAAATAGACGTACGTGGAAAATATGTATTTTTTAAAAAAACATTTCAATTTCCAATATTTTTCTGTATGAAGAACTAAGGTTGCTATGGTCCATTCAAAGGCTATGGAGAATTACAGTAAAAGTTTTGTTGAATCATCCCATACATGTCATACACGGCTTTCAAAAGCTATCAAATTGTTTTTTAAAATTAATGTTTAAATTTTGAGGTGTCTTCTTACTTTAAAAAATGGATATGTCTCCGACTGATGTTGCCAGAGCCATTAATTTAATCCAAGATGGACGGTCACAGTATTACTTGGCAAGTGTTTTAAACGTCACCAGAAGTAAAGTACAAAGGGCAACATCAGTCGGAAACATTTTTAAAAGTAAGAAGACACCTCAAAATTAACACATTAATTTACAAAATACAATTTTATACCTTTTGAAAGCTGTATATGACAAGTATGGGATGATTCAACAAAACTGTCACTGTCATCCTCCATAGGCTATGGATGGACCATAGCAACCTTAGTTCTTCATACAGGAAAAATATTCGAAAATGCAATGTTTTTTTAAAAAATTCATATTTTCCACAAAAATAACTATATCGAGGTGAACCAAAAACAAAACTGTTAAAAATAGATGCGACTTGATAATTAAAACTTAATTCAGAACAATATACAGTTTTGCCACTCTACAGAGTGTCTTAAACTTATGGTAAAAAAACATATTTTTGTTTAAACCTGTATATTATAAACGTTCGTGTATTTATTTGCGATTGAAATTCATCGAAAATTTGTGTGGATGGATTATTTTGCCTGTGAGTGTATATAAAAATACCTGTTTTGAAATATACAAATCTTTGGGAAAAAATATTTAAAAATGTCAATAGAAATATAGATTTAAAATTTAAACAATTTAGTTCAAAGTTATTGCTTTCGACATGTTAATGAAAGTAAATAATAATTATTTTCTTTCATTGAAGTTTCAAAAGCAATAACTTTGAATTACATTGTTTAAATTTGAAATCTTTTGACATTATAAACTTTTTTGTACAATTTTAAAAAAAAACAAGCATCTACTTTATTCTTACCTTGATTATTATTTTTCTTGTTTTTTAAACGCCCTGTATGTTATTTAGAAATTTTTAAGATGGCTATGGAATTTACAGAATTACCAAAACTTTTCTAAAAGAATGAGTCTTCCTACTAAAATATAAAATAAAAAAGTGCACAAGTATAATTAGGTCCATCCAGGGACACACTCAATATATATTTATATATATATATATATACATATTTATTTATATATATATATATATACATATTTATTTATATATGTATATATAAAACCTATGTTGTTTATTTAATTTTTATGACAGTTTAAAGTATGAATAATTTAATTTATAGCATGGATATATAAGTTATACTTAAGGCAGGCAGAGAATTTAAAAATGAAACTAACACTTTAAAACTTGCAAATTTTGCACAAACATTTACTGAAAAGATTTTTAGTCGACGCAGTGTGATATAAACTTGACAAATTTTATTTTGTAAACTTAGAAGAAAATCCCTTAAGCACACTTAAACCGATTACTTTTAAAAGACTTTTAGCCTTATTTGCCGTGTATTATGGGCCAATTTATAAAGTAAATGCGTTATTTTTATTATTATTATTATTATTATTATTATCATTAATATTAATATTGTAAATAAATCTGACATTTAAAATAGCACCGTGTGATGAAAAAGTTGCTTGGTTTATTGATCCACAAATAAACATTTTTACGGTAGTCATAATGGGTAGGCACCTAGGCAGGATATAAAAAACTAAAGTGGTAATATTCGCATGGACTATATTTTTCGCGATAAATTAGGTGCGTAGACTCTACGCCGTAGAATATACGGTTGATAATAAATTTGAGAAAATGAAATAAACAATGAAAATGTTGAGTGTATCAATAAAAAAGCGGGCAAGTGATTGGCACACCTACGACACGTAACGAGTACATAAAAGCGGAAGTTTTATTACGGTCCTAGCGAAAACGTTTTGTTCTATTGGGAATTCTAAAAGTTAATACTTGCCTACGTTTTGAAAAAAGGGACCGGGAATTTCGAATAGATTGCCGAAAAAGACGCCGGATATTAAGTCTGCTTCTCCTATGACATTTAATACTTTTTTAGTTATTATTATTGCGGCCCTATAACAATCCCCTTCAGGTTTTAGATAGCCCTTTAAATGAATTTACTACCACCTAACTATAAACACAGGCACTTAAGGAAAAATTGAACTATTACAGTTTTATATGCCCATAAAAAGACCATGCAGAAGAAATCTTCATACAGCTTTTATATGTGTCTCTAACTATCGTATATATAACCCAAAATACCTATAATACACAGTACCTAGTATGCTGTAGAAAATACCATGCTCTGATTGGTTTATTGTTTTACATAGAGATTATTTTCTATAGAAAGTAAGTTTGTAAATTTTAAAAAACAACCGCCAGAAGTGGTAAATAATAAAATACAGGCATTTTAAAGAAGGATTTTCAGTACCTTAAATTGATCATATCACCTAACACAAACTATTGAGTATACAGAATGAAAATATTTTTCAAAATGTATTTCGGCTATAGGCTATATAAATAGTATATTTTGTAATGACAAGGTAATAAAATTATTATATTATTCCTACTTACCCTATATAACAGTAAAATAATCCGAAAGTTAAATCTACTAAAAATCGATTTTTAAAACGTAGGTAATTTTAACTTTAGAATTCTCCGTACCGCAATAAAATCGCGATCTTTAGCTATTTTGTTAGAAACCAAATAGGCGCAAGTATTGATTTGAATAAAACAATTTTACATGCAATACGTTTTTGTTCTTTGCAATGCCAAACAAAAATAGGTTAAAAGTTCTAAAGTTTGTGCGCCTAAGTATTTTTAGTTTAAAATAAATTTTTCATTCCTAAAGAAGTTGAAATTTCTATGAAGCAATCCCCATACTTTATCCACGCTAGACGTAGAGTCGATGAACTTTTTGTTAATAAGTTCGGAAAACTTTCTCAATATAATATAGGTAATAAAAGGTTTAATTACAGTCTAGGAAATACTATGTACGAAATTCAAAAACTTAAATACGAAAATCCTTCGAAATACTTAAGACTATAATATATGCATATTAAAATCTCGTTGTGATGGTGTAATCCTCTTCTTATAGTTGATTGGATTTGATAATAAAGAAAATTGAAGCTGAAACTTGGCGCATTAAGGCTATAACTATTATTTTATCTTTTTCGTTATTTTTTGAATATGTTAAGCTATTTTGCATAAACTTAAAAGTGTTAAGCATCTAACGTTATATCATTACGAAGTAAAATATATGAGAGACCCTAATTCGGCTGTAAAATTATTTTATCAAGTAAATAGTTTTTATCGCCATGATAAACACTTTAAAGAGGAAAGCCAACGTTAGAAATTTATTTTAAAAACTGGTTTTAAACTTGTATCGGTTTAAATTTTTTAAACATACAACAAGACACTAAGTAAACAAAGAATAATAAACAAATGCTCATATGTTACAGGTATTAAACAACACTTTTAACCTCATACCTAAAATGTTTATTTTGTTTTACGCTTATCTATGTAAAGCTACTATCATTAATAAAGTAAAAATGTGCATAAATGATGAAACTCGACATATTGAAAAACAAAAGCCAATAGCTGAAGAGGTTATACTCTCAACACATATATGAAGGGCCCTTATCTAACTTTTGTGTTTAAAAAGATATATCCAGCAAGTATGATTCATGTTTCGAGTACAAATATGTTTCAAGCACCTCTATAGCTTAAGTAAAACTCGGGAAAATTTTGATTTATTTTAAACTGCATTGTTCTTCATTTTATAGGTCAATATTTCACACTTATACTTTTTTTCAAGGTGACTTCTCATTGGACATATACCCAGTGATGTTGGACGACGACGCTCGTTATCAATGTCAAGTAGGTCCAGGTTCAAAGGGCGAGCCGGGCATAAGAAGCACTTTTGCTACCTTAACCATCCTTATTCCCCCAGAAGCACCGAAAATCGTACAGGGCGACTACCTGGTTACCACAGAAGACAGAGAAATCGAGCTAGAGTGTATCAGTTCAGGTGGCAAACCTGAGGCAGAGATCACTTGGATCGATGGACTAGGTAAAAATAATTATATATTACTGATTTATTGCATTATAACAATTATATAAGGATGTAACATGCATATTATAGATAAAATTAGATTTGTAAATAGAACAAAATTTTATCAAAGGTATTGTTATCATGATGCAGTAATTCAATTCATAATTTCCTTAAGCATTATTGAGACTAATTATTTCGCTAGCAGTTTGACAAGTCAACTATGCAACAGATAGCTTTGTAGTAACTTTAGGCATCCGCTTTAAGATGACTATTGTGCTACGTAAGACCATAACAAATGGTTGTTTGGCGCTGCTAATTAAATTTGTTTAGGAGACGGTTTATTAAATTGACACTTTTAATTCTTTTGTCAGGAACTATTATTTTGTTGCCCTTATTAAATATCGAAATAATTGTTTTAGGGAACGTGTTGACGGAAGGGATAGAATATATATCTGAAAAACTACCGGATGGAAGACGATTTACTGCAAAATCGATTTTGAAGTTGACTCCACGAAAATTACATCACAACACGACTTTTACTTGCCAGGCCCAGAACAGAGCCGAGAGGACGCACCGAACTGCGAAGCTGAAGCTGGAGGTGAGTACAAGACAAGGTTTAATATTATATTGTATTTTAAATTTTCTCCCAGGAAATATATAACAAACTTTGTAACCTTAAAGTTGTTTTTGTAAACAGGTTGCTGCTACCTAACTTTTTACTCTTCTTGGTGTTTAAATTAAATTTTGTTAGGTATGTGTACACCTATATGACCTACGACTTTTCATTAAAATATTTTAATGTTACGTAAATAAAATTTTACCACATTTCATAAAGTTAACTATTGGCAGTTAAACTTACAATACATGCTTTTGTGTTTGTTTATGGGTGGCTATTTTTCCTTATTTATTTTCAAATAATGACCAACTTAAAGTTATTGTTACTGCCTTTGCAGTAACGAAAATGTATTTATTCAATAGCTGCTAATGATAGAATTTATGGAAGGTTTCTCTTTAAATATGTGTTTTATTTAAATTATTAAATTTTTTACTACCTAAATTTTAATTACAATTTATTTTATTAGTAATAAAACAAGAATCTGGATATGTACTATGGCTTTAATTATGTTAATTTTATTAGGGATTCCTGTTTACAAACAATAGTGTCGGCTCTGACTCATAATTTAATAATTTTAGAATTATACGAGTTTTACCCCGTCTGTCAGATATCCTAATTAAGAATAATATAAATGTCTGTAATATTAATGGAATCATTGTGACTCAACTTTTTTCTCTAATTAAATACGAAACAACAGCTTAGATTGAAATAAATTTGTTTACATTAACGTAACCATTACATTAAAAGCAACAAACATTCAATTAGTAAACTCACACCCTAAAAATTAAATTAAATTGAAACAAAAACTTAAGACCGCTAATTTTTCAGGTTAAATATGCACCAAAGGTGACAGTAACTATCATCTCTGGCCTAGGCAGTAACGGCCGAATTCCAGAGGGCGCTGACGTCAGGCTTAGTTGCCAAGCTGATGCGAATCCAAGTGACGTCACTTACAGATGGTTCCTGAATGACGAACCAATGATAGGCGACTACACCACTCAGCTAATTCTTCGAAATGTTTCCAGAAAACATCACGACTCCATAGTAAAGTGCGAAGTGCACAACGCTGTGGGAAAAAGTGAAGAAAGCGAGACCTTGGACATTAGCTGTAAACAAATATTTTAAAATATGTTGATTTTGTTCTAATATGTTGTTCTTATTATAGATGGTCCTCAGTTTAGAACAAAACCTAAGTCGATCCAGGCTGACTTGGGAGCAAGCGTAACTTTGCAATGTGATGTCGATGGTAATCCTTATCCAGACATTACATGGTACCATGAGGATAAAAAGAAAATGGTTAGCACCACCCCTAACTTGACCATAAGGGTTGAACACGAAACGGCTGGTAGATATTACTGTAAAGCTCATGTCAATGGGTTCCCTGAAATTGGTGCAGAAGCAGCCATCTACCTAAAAGGGCCACCATCAATTGTGAGTCATCGCACACAATTTGGAATCGAGGGAGATAACGTCAGAGTTGAATGCACTGCTTTCTCCATACCTTCCCCTGAGCGTGTGGTGTGGACTTTTAATGGTAGAGAAGTTGACTTACACGACCAAGACTATTCGATTTTAGAAGACCCTTTACCGGAAGGAATCAAGTCTACCTTGGTAATCAGGGAATCTCAGGAAAAACACTTTGGGATGTATAATTGTAGCGTTTCAAATCCTTATGGAAGTGATGTTGTGGAAATTAACCTAATGCCTCAAAGTAATTTTTGATAAAAGTTGTTTTTGGTTGATTATTAATTTGTTCTTTTGTTTTCAGAGAGTTTTCCCATGCTAATTATTGTAATTGGTGTTATTGGTGCTATTATTATTCTCATTATAATCATCATGATCATATTCTTATGTCAACGTCAAAGCAACAAGAAACCTCCTCCAGAAAGTAAGTTATATTATAATTTGCATAAAAATTGTGTAACTTATTTATCGTCCTTTAATTTAGCGTGTGATGGTAACACTATAGAAAAACAATGCAAGGAATCCGACAGAAGTTCGAATATATCCGATCTTAAATTGGATCTAAGGACAGGTTCATCGAATAGTAACGTACACTGCGATATGGACTACATTCCCGGTGCTGAATCAGAAACAGGAAGCGAGTCAGTAATCACAAGGATAGGTGTTCCTTTGGCAGGTCCTGTAAATGTTGCTGGTCAAGAAATCTACAGGTACTCTGCTGATTATACGGAACCCAGTTTTCCACCAAAGGTAATAAACAGCCCTCTTTTATATAACCTAAAGAATGTTTAATTTGTCTTTCGACTTTGTAAATGATTTAGAGACATTACACGATGTTTGTATAAACTAAATTATTATTTTTGTTATAGGATGGTCAAAACAATAATGGTTACGTTCCGTACGTGGACTACTCGCGTGATTACAACCCTCCAATGATGCAACCACCGATATCGTCTTCACTGGACCCATGTCGGGAGAGTCTGCAGTCCACCAGGCTGCAGTTGAACTCGTTGCAGTCGCACACGCCAGTCAGCGCGGCTTCAATGCCGATGAACGATCTTACAGACCTGCACCACTTGCCGAACGGCAACATGGCGGGTATTGATCCCAGGTACAGCGCCGCCTACGGCAACCCCTATCTGAGGAACCCCATCGTGGGTCTGCCCACCCCCAACACCGCCAATCCGGCAGCAACGCCCGCCCCACCCCCCTACTCGAGAGAGAACTCGCGTTTAGTGAACTCTAGTGGCATGATCACAGCCAGTGCTAACGTGGTGAACACAGTGGTGGCGAACGGCGCCAACGGGTCACTGCCTCAGGTCACCAGGCTTCCGAACTCGCCAACCAGTCAGTACATTATTCCAAACTCGAACTTGGCCACAATAAAGCGGGGAACCATGGCAACGCATGTGTAATTAATGCAGACGCTTAGTGCTAAGTGAATATATACGACAAGACTGAGTAATATATCAATTGAATAAATGACTTTTATTGTTCAATTTTTTGGTAATGCTGGTCAGACACACAATTAATTACACTGAAATCTTGTCCCTGAATTTTAAAAGTATGTGGGTCATTTTATGTTTTCTGGAGTAAAATAAAATTCCTTTAAAAGGCGTTTTTAAAACTTTCATATGTGTTCAGTAGATTCGATTAAATAAAAAGATTCTTGTTAACCTGAAAATGAAGTACGACTTATCTGAATCTTTGTAGAACGATATCTAAAGGTTTTTTATGAAAAATATATCTCTTTGGTCATCCGGCGTCATCTTGGTTTCCGAACGAGTCTAATATCAATAAATGTCATATCAATAATAAACTTTTAAATTCAAGAATACTGTGTAATTTTTGTAGGTCAAACTAGCACAAACATTTATTGACGCCGAACGAACAGTCCTAATGTAAATTCTACTAGACAATTAAATTAATTGACCGAATTATTGATTAAAAATTAATCGAATAGTACAATATTTGTACTTGCAGTTACATATTTTACTTTATTATATATTTTTTGTTATTCAATTCATAGACGTTTAAATAACTTAAAACATTTAATAGAAAATAAAGTCAATTTAAAGCCAATAAAATATTTTAATACATATAGGCAACTTATAGTCAATACTGAAAAGTCTATAATTGAGTAGGTACCAACAAACTTGCTTTCAAACTTAATTATTGAATTGTTATTATTCATTGTTTTTAAAGCTACGGATACAGAGTCTATTACAATCATTACTTATACAGCATTTTGATACCTGTAAATATTTTGTATAGAATTAAGAATGCCCATAAGCCTGACTGCTAGCTAACTAATAATGCGTTAATACATAAATAAATTAATGTAATTGGTAAAATATGTTACTGAACTTTTAATAAATTAGTGTACATATCAAATCATGATGTCGATTTAACTTTAAAGTGTCAATTCTTAAATTATCTCATATCTAAATTAATGAATCCTACTATTTCAATATTTATTTGTCTAGAAAATATATGATTTTTGTTATTATTAAGCAAGTCTTATAATAATAACAAATACATCTATGAGCTTCCAAAATAATATTATTTTATGTAATTTATTTTTTGTCCATTCCAGATAATTTTATCTTAGACAATTTTTCTGCATGTTCTTATTTTAAATATAATGTATTTATTTATTTCGAATGTGCGGTAAAATTTGTACATATCCTCGTTAGCTTATTTTGGAGGTAAGATTGTTAAATAAAATAAAATAAAAATTCTTGTTATAAATTTTAAATACTTATATACCAAAGATATTTTTTGTATAGTAAAAACTTATAAAAATGTATATTTTTGAAATAATTTCAATCATCGATGCATACAAATTGGCCTACAGTAGATCATGTTAAAATTACTGTTTTTGTTCTATTTTTAAGTGCAATTCGTATACTTTACTTTATTTTGTACTTAAAAAGTTAGCAATCATTTGCTTTAATATTTGCTCACATATTTATAGTATATTGATTTTGTATAATTTGTATATTGTATTATATTATATTTTGTTTTTAATCTGTACATTTATCCTTTTTAATTACTGTATAAAACATACAATAATATTCGTCAATTAAGTTATACCGATTATTTCTTGTATCATATCAACAATTATATTATATTATTTTATACGAGAATAATGTAGTTTGTTATATGTATGTTTGTTATACACAGGATTAGTATTTTTAGCTCAAACTTGTACATATGACGATATCTTGCGGACGTTTTCTATACTTTTAGAAAAAACAGTTAACTACTGCGTATGAATTTTTTTTAAGTCTTGACGAATAGCAATATTTATAAAACTTTGTGATTGTAAAATAAACATGCCTATATAAAAATTATTCTTTTGTTTTATTTCCAAAAACCACTTTTAATTGCCTTATACTAATACTAACTACGCTTTGAAGCCCAGCAGTTGCTACTGGTTTAGGCGTGTAAACTTATCTTCTATCGCATTTAAATCATAGATCTAGCTCCAAGCGATTTTTTTTGTTTCCTAGACAACAAGTTGCGCTTAAAGGACAGATTTTCAACTACTTCGCAGAGAAAGACGCCAACTACTATTTGGACGGGTGGAAGCACGGCGTTCTCTATACTTAAAAAGTTAGCAATCATTTGCTTTAATATTTGCTCACATATTTATAGTATATTGATTTTGTATATTGTATTATATTATATTTTGTTTTTAATTATTATTATATTTAAAGAACGCCGTGGTGGAAGAGATGGGAGCATCGCTGGGTGAAGTTTATAGACTTACAAGGAGATTATGTTTGAAAAATAAAAATTAAAAATGTCTTGTTTCTTTCTTAGGTCTGAAACTTTTTAGACCACCCTCGTATAGTATAGGTAATACTAATAATAATAAATATTAATTTGTATGGGTATAATTGGCTTCACCAGTATTTTTTAACTAGACATTTTTCTTTATTAAATCCAGTGTAAAATTGTTAATTGTTTACTTATGTGGTATTTTTAACAAAATTTACTTATATTAATATTGCTTATTAGCAAAACATAACTATAAATATTTTTATTCGAGTTTTTATTGTTTTAAATAACTTGAAATTCTATAGAACATTATGAAAAATTTAATATTGACAGATTTAACGTTTGCAAAATAAATTTTGAGTGTAAAATAAACTTCGAGATACATTTTTTAAGGCATATCTGACTTAAATTTCTTGCAATATTTTTTTGTAACATTCGCCTTTAATCTATTCTTATAACAATTAATGAAACCCAAAACTTATGCACTTATTACATTATTTGAAAAACCAGAACATATTTTGTAAAAGTATACGAACTGTAAAATAACCATTACTAAACGTTTGACCATTAATATTTCGTTGAGTATTGATAGTTAAAACTTTTAACATTTTAACTTATAAGTAATAAATCCTAAATATTAATTTTATTTTATCTACTCCTCTATTGACGATCTTATGGCGTATTACTCACGGGTTGAAGTTAGCAACAGTGGCTTTTGATCTTTTTAGTCACGGGCTGAAGTTAGCTATATTTTAAGTTTGGAAAATGTGAGGTTAAATCCGGGTGACAGTTGACATATGTCAAATTTTAAACAAATTAAATTGGCTTTAAATTTTGTTTTGTGTTCGTCGTAGATAAAGTATAGTATGTAACTCGTTTATAAACTAGACACTAGTTTTTATTAAACACTCGCTCGCAAGCTTCGCTCTTGCTTAATTAAACTCGTAACTAGTACTCGTAAATAGCATTTATAAAACTTGATACATAATATACTATTATAGTAGTTACTATAAAATATGTAATATATAATATAAAATATTAATAATTAATATTTAACTTGTCATTAGTTAATAATTTATTACTTTTTTAATTTAGAATACATTTCAATCATAGTTTTAAGTTATATTAAAACTTTTCACAATAATATATTATATTAATAATTGATATATGTACTAAAAGTGTGGAGGCAACTCCCCAAAATTATTTTTCTATGTAGTCGGCTACAGGTTCGGATTTAGGAATTTGCCGCACCTTTAATATAGAAATAAGACATGAGACAATCTGATTCTATAGCTAACAAAAAATATTTTTTATTTTAATAAAATAAATAATAAAAAATTAAAATCGAATGAAATCTGTAGTATTTGGATTTTTTAAATAAAATTTTAAATTTGTCGATAAATTATAGTAGATAATAAATTGCACCACTTTAATTTGAATTATCTCAAATAGGGGGGCCTGGAGGCGGGTGAGGCAACAGGAAAAACTAACTTTTTTTCCCAAACTTAAATTTAATTTCTGTTTGCGCCGAACTTGTTTATTTAATGTCATTATAAACTATTATAAATTTGGTGTGGGTCCCATGTCTAATAACTGAGATATTGGTATACCCAAAATCCACCAGCCGCCACTGCAGAACTCCATTTAAGTCACATTTTCAGTAATTTGCTTAGTAACGTATCTAGTTACAAATAACTAGATACAGTTTCTAGATACTTTTTATATATTTGTTTGTGTAACTATATACTAGATACAGTTTCTAGATACTTTTTATATATTTGTTTGTGTAACTATAGTTAATTATTCCAATCTAGTAACTATAACTGTAACTAGTTACAAATTCTAAGTAACTAGGTGTGTTAAGATACAAAAATTAGTTGCCGTAAAATAAAAAATTATCGTTCGGCACTACAATTGGATATAGCTGTGCAAACGAGCATTTGGTGTGCTATATCAACATTGGGAAAAACTGTGTGGAGCTCGTAGTTTCTCTGTAGCTTGGGCAAATCCTTGGGAAAATTATTTTATATTTTTTTCTTTACGAAAAAACTTCAAAATAAAATCATCTTATTCTTAAACATTCTATATCTTGAAATTTTTTAATTGAAGACACTTGTCACGAAGTTTTGTTTATTCAAACAATGCATGCAAACATTCTCGGTCATTTTTTATTAAGAACTTTGTATGCTATACTAATTTAGAAAAAATTCTAAACAAGAACATTTTAAAAAATATTCGATTATAGTTTAAAAAATATATACTGTTCAAATTTTATAGGTTTTTGCCGGCGAATAAATATATTTTTTAAATTTATGTACTTAGCTGGTTAAGCCGTCTAAAAATTAGCCAAGTTATAACTGATCAGCTTAATTTAACCGCGGTTAAATTAAGCTGATCAGTTATAACTTGGCTAATTTTTAATTTTTTAATTTAACCGCGGTTAACTAAATTAGCTTAGCTAATTAGCTGGCGGCTTAACCGGTTAATCTAGCTTAGCTCAGCTAATTAGCTAATGGCTAATTTCTCTAAAGCTATTTAATGATTTCTTATTTACGGACAGGTTCCAAAAATAATATTAATGTTTAAATGCTAACTCCTGCGTCGCTCACCCCACAAACTTCCAGCTCGTCCGTAAGGATTCATTTACAGCTTAGAGCCTAACAATGGCTAATTTTTTTAAAGCTATTTAACAATGGCTAATTGTTTTAAAGCTATTTAATGATTTCTTATTTACGGACAGGTTCCAAAAATAATATTAATGTTTAAATGCTAACTCCTGCGTCGCTCACCCCACAAACTTCCAGCTCGTCCGTAAGGATTCATTTACAGCTTACAGCCTAACACGTAAATAACTGCTATTTCCACCTTTTTGGTAAATGACATTTTATAGGTTAATTTTGTTGTTTTTGTATCCAATTAAACGATACATTATACCAACATTACAGACCTGTAATATTTTACGTGCTTGTATAAAAGACCTGTACAGTTTTACAGGTTTGTAGAAAAGCATTTATGAAATAAATTGTCACCTTTGACACAATAATTGAAATTTTAAATATAAAAATCCTTATCTAAAGGTGAAAATATAAGTTTGTACGTATCACGTGCGTACGCTTTGCAATTAATCGTTACTAGGCTTACTATATTATGGGGTTCGCTCCTGCGTCGCTCACTCCACAAACTTCCAGCTCGCCCGTAAGGATTAATTTACAGCTTACAGCTTGACACGTAAAGAACTACTATAACTATTATTTCCACCTTAATAGGTTAATTTTGTTGTTTTTGTATCCAATTAAACAATACATTATAGGAACAGACCTGTAATATTAATAAAGAAATATTAAAAATTTAAAATGGTATAGAATCTGTATAATTTTGATTTTTTAAATGGAATTTTTCGATAAACTATGGTAAATAATAAATTGCACCAATTAAATTTACATTGTATTTGTATTGGTACACGGAGAGAAAAATTTTGCCAAAATAACTATCCAAAGTATTGTTAAATGACGTATAGTGAATTTAGTCAACTGTTTTATTAAACTGAGGATCTGTATAGCCAATTTAGCCATACAAATCCT